GCAATATTTGACAAAAGTGATTTATTACCAGAGATATGATCAGAAGCGGCTGAGTCCACAACCCATTGTCTAAGAGTACTAGACTGGGAAACACAAGCAAATGAATTACCAGCAACAGAAGTATCAGTCTGAGCAGCAGAGGCTACTTGTGGAGATGTCTGCTTACTTGCTCGATATTGAAGGAACTCATTATACTACCTTCAGATAAGGAAAATCCCTGGTTACCTGTAGTCTCGATCTGAGCAACATAAGCATTTTTGGGTGGGCGACCATGCAAAGAATAGCACACGTCACGACTGTGTCCAAGTTTATGACAATAAGAGCACTTGGGTCTAGATCTTCCAAAATGACCTCCTCCTCATCTATTCTCCATAGTATGAGATGCCTGATTGTCCACTGTCTGGGATGCGAGAACAGATGAGTCAAGTGTCTGTGATGAGATCACTGGGTGACTTGGTGCTGCAGCAAGGCGAAGTAATCGAGAGATAATTCATCAACCGTGGGGATAGTCGGACTTGCCAAAATCTGATCGCGTACTGAGTCAAGATCATTAGGAAGTCCAGCAAGAGTAAGAATTAGAAACATCTTTTGTCGCTGCATTTGCTGCTTTTCAATACTAGCAGAAACTGGCATCAACTTCTCAAATTCCTCCATGACTGCCTGTACTTGTCCCAAGTAAGTAGACATATCTAATTCATGTTTTTTTAAATTTGTCATCCGCGATATCACATCATAGAAACGAGATATGTCATCAGTGTATAAAGTGCGAGCCTTTTCCCAAACCAAATAACATGTCTGGAATGGACGAAACAAGGGCATCAACTTGGAATCAATAGATCGCCACACAATACTGCATAATTGAGCATCGATCTTCTCCCAAAATGCTTTGGCCTTTGCATCTCCTTCACTAGACTTCGTGATTAGATGATCTTGAACACCTTGACCTTTACACCACAACTCGACAGACGAAGCCCAAGCTAAGTAGTTTGAACTTCCCATTAAAGGTTTTGAGGTAATCATAACACCGGAACTGCTAGAACCCTGGTTTTTAGACCCGAAGGCATCGACTCCCAAAGACATCGTTGGATTGAAGTGAGGTCTATAAAGTTATCACCAAATAAAATAAAGAATCAACTGAAAACTCACTGAAACAGATGAAGGAAACACTGTTTTTGCCGGAAAATTACTGTAGCTGCCGGAAAAAATCAGTATAGTCGTCGGAAAAACTCAATGTGGTTAGAATCAAACGAAAATAGTATGGGTGGGGTCGGAATTGGTACACGACCCAATTGTTCTGAAGAAAGTTTTTCAAAAAATGGCCAGAGGGTTCTGCACGCACCGGCACGTGAGCTCACGCGCGTGAGCTTCTGGTGGCGCGTGGCGGCGCATGGGGCTTCTATTGCCGGAGATTTTTCTGGGGTTTGGTCTCCGGACAGTGGCGACTCTTGTGGTAGTGTTGGATTTTGCACAACACTGACAGAGACAACGCAAGCGCAAGCAGCCTTGAAAAAGTCGCCGGAAAAAGGCTTCCGGTGACTAATTTCTCTTCCCGGAATCGCTGAAATTTGTGCACAGCGATAAATCTCTCACAATTGCTCTGATACCATGTGAGAATGCACGGGAGAAAATATGATTGATATTATTCTCATATGTTAAACATGATACAATGAGCCCTATATATATACATAACATGTCCTACTCCTAATACATATGGGATTAGGGTTACATAACTATTCTAACAGTTTCGTAACTGGCGAACTTCAGCTCTAGAGCTGAAGTTTTATTTTTGTAACTGTCAAACTTCAGCTCTAGAGCTGAAGTTTTTGCTATTTATTACTATGAATCCACAATAATCTTCAAAGTGGGAATCACATCGTATGACAATCCACGACGATTTTCAAAGTGTGAATTCACATCGTACAGCAATCTAAGTCCTTGTGAAATCAAACAGCTAGTATTCTTGCCAAATTACTTGTCGCGTTTGAGTCTTTAGTACTTACAATTAAAAGGAATTCTGAGTAATAGTAAGAAATATTTATTTAAAAGAGATAGCTGAAGAATAAACTTCGTCAAGAATATCTCCACAGCCCATGTCAATTACTGGAATATTTTCACAATCAGCGACTTCAAAAAAGAGTGGCCTATCGGATTGAGGGCGAATATAACTTTGAGGAGGAGAAAGAGGAGGAGAAAGGGGGCTGAAGTTGTTTAAAAGTGGGTACAAGTTAAAACTTTTAAAAAAATGGGTATAGGTTAAATGGGAGCGACCAAATAGGGCTCCCCACTCTACGATGTCGCAATTGGAGGCCCTGGTTGGGGGTTACCGGAATCTCAAGAAAATGGTACCGTCTTGGAATGATCAAAACCATTTGACCGGTTGGGCAATGGCACCGGGCTCAACAGGTCATTTTCGTTGGTCCTGATCACCAGGTGCTAGCTGGAGGGCATTCTCATCAACCCTCTGACACCGGTCATCATCGAGCTATGTGCCAAGCCTGAGACGCCTTTTCAATAGTCCTTTTTGCACTGTCCAGTAGTCTTGTCACAAAAAAGTCACATTTTATCTTGTATAGTTAACTTTTCCAAGAATCTAAAGAACACATTATCATCCCTCTAAGAGTCCGTTTGGACTGGCCTAAAAAAGGGTCACTTTTCAACAGAAAAATACTCCCTCCGGTCCACAATAAGTGATTGATTTGGCTTGGACACACCCATTAAAGATATATTAAATTCTAGACAAAAATAGTTACTGTGACTATACTAACCTTAATTAAATGTTGCAGCATAATTTAATGTGAGGAGTAAAAGACTTTTTAGGAATACGTACATAAGGGTAATGTTGAAAAAACAAATTGAATTTTTTCTTGATTATATAATGGACACTTATTTTGGACCAAAAAAAAAAAGCAAATTGGTCACTTATTATGTATCGGAGGGAGTAACCTTTAAGCCGGAAAAAAAAAAAGTTGGGGTTGCCCAACTTATTGCTTTTGGTTTGTTTTAAACAGTTTTTGACTTATCTTAAGAACTTTTTAACTTTGCCAAATACTGAAAAAAAACTATAAAAAAAAAAGCTTTTTGACCAGCTTAAAAGCCAATCCAAACACCCTCTAAGGTATCATCTCGAAGACAACTTTGTTTTTTGTTTTTAACTAGAAGACAACTTGTAACACATTTCTCTCTCGAACAATACTCGCAAGAAATACTAAGCTCACCATTGTACTTTCTTTAACACTTGCCTCGTTATTCATTACTGTAACTTTTGTTTTACTTTCGTACACATTATACTGTTCGCACTATAAAATAAAGGGTTTGGATCTATCACGATTTACTTGCCTTCAACCCCTCCTCTTTATCAAATACTCCCTCTCTTTCAATTTAGATGATATATTTTTCTTATTAGTCCGTTCCCGAAAGAATGATACATTTCTTCAATTGAAAATAATTTAACGTTAAACTCTTCATTTTGCCCTTAATGAGAATGATCTAGAAACACGTGTTTTAGTCATAGTTTGCACTCTAATAACTGCATTTTACTTGTGGTATGGTGATTTGCGCTTATTACGTGTTTTATGCCTTGCATGAAATGATTTCGAGCTATTAAGATAATTTGGAGGTAAATTGAACAAGTTGGACTTTGAAGTCTGAGTAAACTCCGAGAAATTAAGTCGGGATCATGTTCGGGGGTCGAGGACTGATTTTTACACTGGGCGCGGTGCCCTACCTTGCGCCCCGTTCGGTCCCATGCCTACATGGTATAAATACATCAAAAACACGGTTTTGAGAGGACTTTTGACCTACAAAAGATTGGAAGAGCATTGTAGACTCAAAGCACAAGGATTCATTATTCTTTTCTCAACTCAACACCCAAGTTTGGATTGAATTCATGTTTTATTATTCTTCAACTTTATTTGTGATGAATTTCTCCATGATTACGGAGTAGTTTATCTTAGGGTTTTGACGAATATGGTGTTTTGATTGATATTTGTGGATTTTAACTCTAGTTCTTTGCATGAATTCGCTTATGGAGCTTTGAATTGATTGCAACTTTGTTCACCAATTTATTTAATCGAAAGACGAATATTTGGTGATTATCTTTGCATTACTTTGGTTGGTTTAATTCAATGAGTCTTTTAAGTAATCGAAAGAGCTTGTTGAAATATTGATTAAATCAAGTTAGGAGAATATTTGGGAGACGTTTTCCTAAAGACTGATCCATTAACGCATGCTTCCATATTTTCGTAGTGCTTTATATTAGTTCACCTCGTAGAGTTAAGATTTAATCAAGAGAGGAGTTTTCGCTACATATTTAAATTAATCATCGAGTGAATTCGTGAGAATCATTAGAACATTAGAGCGAATTGAACTAGAGTTAGATCCCGAATAGCCATCTTGCACCTATCCTGTCATGACCCTTATCTTCCCATTGATTATTTTGGTGTTGCTCAACTCTTGTCTATTTGTTATCAATTGTTAATTGCTTTAGATTTCATAGTTAATTTTAGTTATTAATCATCCCAACCAAAGTGTTAATCATCCCGAATAGCGTTGAACTTTAAATTACTTGAACATTGTTTAAATCCGATCCATGTGGAGATGATAACTTAACTAACTATCTTTGGCTAGCGACCATCAATTTCGTGTTGTGTTCTGCGCTTGTCAGAGAAGCTTTTATAGCCACACAAATATCATGGTTCCATAAGGCTTTTACCCCTTAAGTTTTTAAGACCACAAGCTTCAAAAGTCTTCCTTTTTTTTCTTAAACTTCATGCCGAGTCAAACTACCTCATCTAAATTTAAACGAAGAAAGTAATTGTTAAAGTGGATAACTATTTTTCCCGGTAAACAACTTCATACCCTCCTTTGAAAAAAAGGGAAAACACGTGCTAAAAATATTAGGAGAACTCTTGAATAACATAAAACTTGAAGGACTTGATTGCAAAGTCTCCTCCTTTATATAGTGGAAGTGGACTAGTCTTTTTTCCTTGTCTGATTTTGTTTTTGCTTAAGAGTGCAGAGCAGTCCAAATTTAAATTGTCCTCTTCCTCCTATCTTTCAGAAAAAAGCTCAAAAGCAATAGTACACACCTACTGTTTCACCTTTCTTCAGTAAATCAGAGCAAAATCAGAGAGAAATGAGTTTCTTGTCATCTTCCTCTGATTAAATAAACACCCCCCATAATTTTACTTTTTTGTACATTTTAGTCCTATTTCAATAACTTTGTGTATTACTATTATAGTCACACCAGAAGGAACAAGAAAAGGGAGAGTTTATTTCCAAGATTTCAATATCAATGTCTTCTGAATTATTTGTATTTGACAACTCTTTCTTTTCTGACCCTTTTTCTCCATCTTTTATTGATACTAATAATATCTTCCAAAATAATATCCAAGATAACAACTTTACTATAATTCAAGAAACCCCAATTGATGATACAACTTCTTTTGATCAAATTTCCTCAGTTCTTCTCTCATCTTCACCTCCAAGTCATCAACTTGAAAATCTTTCAATTTGTCAAACAATTCCATTAAATGGATTTGGTGATTTTTCTGTTAAATCAGAGGAATTTCAAGTTCAGTTTGAGTCTGATTTTATTGGTTCTGGTTCTAGTTCTAGTATCAGCAACCCTTTAATGGTACCTCAAAGTTGTGCTGAAAATGCTGTCAAGTTGATGCAGAGGAGTTTTAGCAGCCATTCTTTTGATAATAAACCAAGTTTCTCCATTTTTACACCTCAGTTTGATAGTTTAATTGAGTCCTCAAATTATCACACCCCTACACTTAGCTCCCCTGAAAATAGCTTTTCTTCTGGTCAAATGAGAAGGGTTTGCAGCACTGGTGATTTGCAAGTTAGTCCTCTATCTAAATTCTCATTTTTTTAGTAATCTTTTACTTCCACTATTGCAGTTTTTTTTCTTTATAAAAACAAAAAAAAAAAAGACATGTCTAAATGTTTGAAAACATTTTACAGTAACTTTTAACTTTTCATTTTACTTTTAAATAATATATAGGGGTAGAATAAGGTTTAACCTCATGAGTTTTGGATTTTAGAATGACGACTCTAATAACATCCTCACATAAAGTCATTCACTATAAAAGCCATTTTTTTTTTTAACCGATTTTATATTATGTTATAAGTAATATAGTATGTTTTTTATAACATCACTTCACTATAGCAGCCAAAAAATACTGGAACAAACGACGTTGTTATAGAGATGTTTGACTGTATTTAATGAATTCTAAATATCAAACATACTATTTGAGCAAAATCTATTGGGTTCGGCTGAAACCTTAGCTCAACTTGTATCTCTGCCGCTTAAAATATAGGCATAAAAATATCATGATATGTATATGACTAGTCTAAGTTTTTAGGAAAAATAACACTGTATAGCCACTGTAAAAATAATAGTCGGAAAAATGTATAATATATAAATTATACAAATTTTATATAATTTTTTGACTACTAGTTATAAATAGTTTTTTGCACGGACTAAAAGTAATAATATCTTAAGTTTTTAAGGGACTTTTGGAGGTCGATTGTTCTTTTTATTCAAAATTCACGTTCAGTCAAACACTATCATATAAACGAAATGAGTACGTTTTTTTTTTTTCAAATTAACAAGAAAATGAAAATTTCTTGATTATTTACCGTTTCTTATTTTGTGGTTTAATAGAAGATGAAGACAAGTCAAACAAGGAACACTTTATCTTCAAGTCCATTATCAGGAGAAAGAACATTTATAGAGGAAGCAGCAAATATCAAAGTGGGGCGTTATAGTGCTGAAGAAAGAAAAGAAAGGATTCATAGGTACAGAGCAAAGAGAACACAAAGAAATTTTAACAAGACTATTAAGGTAATTAATTAACTTAAATATTTCTCCAAATTCTTTTAGGATTAATTATTTGACTGGATATTAATTAATGGTACAACAACAGTATGCATGTAGGAAAACACTAGCCGACAACCGTCCAAGAATACGTGGCAGATTTGCACGTAATGATGAAGCTTGTGGAGAGATTCCCAAAACTACAATGTTTAATAGATTTGAAGATGAAGATGATCTTTGGGTAATTAATATTCTCTCCCTCACCTTTTCTTAATGAATAAAAACACAACCCCACTTTCAAATTTTTATTTTATCAACCAAAAAAGCTTTATTCTTAAATTTGAGCTTTTTAATTGTATTATTATTGGCAAATTTAATAACGAGTTTGCAAGTTGAATCATCCACTATAAAAACAAAAATTTTCTCGAAATCGATTTTTATATTATGTTATAATATATGTTCTCTACAATAGCACTTCACTATAGCAGCAAAAAAACATCGAAACAAACAAGACTATTGTAGAGAGGTTTGACTGTATATACTATATTTTTGCTGAAAAACAACTATATATAGAGTTGAATATACGTTTCAAGACTGGTCTCTCAACACTCAACTCATCAGTACTCGCAACGTTTAAATTTTGAATCCATTATTGTGCATTATTGATGTATTGATTAATTAGTAAAATTGAGCCCTTAATCTTATAATTGTCCTTTTTATTTTACTTTGTGGTTGTAGATTGAGGGAGTTCATGAAGAGGAAGAAGATCAAGGCTCAACAGGGAGATCATTACCATTCTATCATAGCTTTGGTTCAATGACACAATATAATCAACAATATTCAAGCCACTAAATTGGGTCATTAAAGTTAATTAATGACAGTGCAATAATTAAGGATAATATTAGCCTCTAGGAGCAAAAGAAGAGGCAGATTGTAGCTTGGTTTAATGAATAATTTAGGTGCACTACTTGTAGTTGTTACAATTAAATGTCTATGGAGGGAGTAGACTAGCAAGGAAAAATTGTTTTTCTCTCTTTTTTGTATTTTAATTTTATTTAGAAACTTAGTTAAGAGGCCATGTGCAACTCATTCCTCTCTTTTATTAAATATAGATTACTATCCATTGATCTGTAAATAATATCGCTGTTTCATTTGTGTCTAATAATAGTATTGACTATTGAGTACTATGAGATGATTATGACTTTGCTTGTGCAAATTTAATATGTTAATTATGCATGTTCCGAAATACTAATCGTTTTAGGAGAATCCAAAATATTTAGAATACGTGCAATATGCATGGAACGCCTATTCAAATTAAACCATGCATATTACGAAAACTAACCAAAAGAAAAAAAGAATTTTCTTCTAGTTTAATTTTCGTATAGTAACAATGTAAAATAATTTTTAAATTACGCTAATAGTGTACAAATTATTTATATTATCAGCTTATATAAGTTCGATCCATTTTGGAAAAATTCTTCTTTTTCTTCTTATTGTGGAAACGGAGGGAAGGCAAAGGTCCGTAGGAAGACAACTATCAGTATTAGCTGACTGGTGACGAGGATTATATAGTTTGAGAGCTGGATCGAGGTTTAAAGCGTGAGTATGACGGAATGTGCCCTATCCCACGAAGGAGAGGAACCTTAAATGTAAGGAACTTAGGTCAAAACTGCGCTCTTTTAGCCGGTTTAGTATAGTAGCCTTCATTCATGATACTCTGCTAGGATCAGCAATACTTCAGTAGGCCCTAGGTACTGATGTGGGTTAAAGTTTTAACCAATGCAATATACTATCCATAAACATTGTACTGCCATAATATAATAAGGCAAGAAAGCGGAAAGTTTCAAAAGAATAAAATGGAAAAAGTTTCTAATATTTGAAGTTGATCCTTTTATACGTAATAATTCATGTCTTGTAACTAAATATTATTAATGGAAGTGTTTGACATGTTGATTACTTTTGAATGCAGCTAATCAAACCAGGAGAGAATGAACTTATGGTTCACTGAAGCTCCATTATTACAACCTACTCTAAAGATTTTTTTTAGTATAGGCTATATGCTTCTTTTTTTATTTTAAATTTAAATCAAATATGTAGGTAGATCTCTGAACAACTTGTGCGAATCTTGCTAATTAAACTTCCCTAAACCAATTTAAAATACCTAGAAAACCTTTCTATTTTTTTTTTTTTTTTCGAAAGAGATTGCAAAAGTGTAAATTTTCCACGTCAATTGCAAAAAGTTACAGGAATTTGAACTTGTAACATTACCTACCACTTGTGTTTGACTCAAAAGATATAAAAACCTCTTTGAACAAATCAATCGAAGGATGAAGGGGTAAATCTTAGCAGAATATAATAAACACTAGAAAGAGTAAGTGATGGAGATATAAATATGCCAATCGATTTCCTTTTGTTCTCAGATCGTGTTTTTATTACAAGAGCTTTTTTCCATCCCCCTTTACAAAGTTCTTTGTCCCCCTTATATACTAGAGGGAGACTCTTCTAAATTGTCAGAAGCAAGCCACCAAGAATATTCGATGGAATATTCCCAATGTCCCTTAATGGGCTTACAATATCACAAGGATCGTACGGCCTCTTCATTTGTCCTAAGGTCGCGTCTTTCTGGACATCGACTCGAAGGTACCCGATCGTTTGTTGTACCCGTCATAGGTCGTAGTTGGTCGAATTTGGACCCATACAGTTAGTCCCTCCGCTTGTCGGGGTTGCAAACGGACGCGTCCTCGATGAGCGGATTTGATACACTCTCTTGGAGGAATTTGACCCGTTGAAACGTTACGACATGGCCAACGGGGGATGGTCATTACTTTCAGCAAAACACCGGGTGGTATGTTTCACCGGGAAATGATGTCAGCTCCACGTACGTCATCATTATGCAGGTTTTCGAAGCAAGGATTTGATGGCTTGATGCTTCGATTCTCGCGCGGCTCTGAGGCCTGCCGCCTCGATTCCGGCGCCACCTAACCCTATAAATAGGTGAGGATTTGTTTCTCTGAAGAACTCTAGCCATTTCTCTCTTGAAAACTTCTTTTACTCTCCCTCCTTTGCTCTTATATCCTTCTGTTACTTCTTTCGTTCTTCACCTGAAGCTTCCACTTTCTTTTTCCTCGTTGATATTTCTTTGATCGATATCATGCCGAGGTCTCGTCGTTCTCATGAAGAGGTTCCTGAGACTACCCCGTTGTCCACGGTATCTCCTTCTGACAGCGGGGATATGGTGGTGGAAGAGGGTGACAGCCCTCTTACGGTGGTGGAGTTACTACCGAGACACCCTTTATCCCGGAGTGACTTCCTCAAGGATCCTCCTCCCACCCCGGACCCTGTGTTTTCAGAGACTGAGCAGGTCCACCTCGACGTCCTTCGTGTAAAATACGGCATTCCTGCCCAAATAGAAATGGTTCCAGCGGGGAGAGATTACGTGACGTCCACAGACCGGGGTACTGCGCTTTCTACGAGTACCCTTTTATGATTGGCTATACTCTTCCTCTCTTCCCCTTAGCGGAGGAATTTTGTAGATTCTACCAAGTTTTCCCAGCACAACTTACACCATATACGCTCAAGGTGCTTCTGCTACTGACCAAGTATGTAGAGTTGGTGGGGTGCAACGTTTCTATCCACCACCTTCTGCACATGTTCACGCCTGGCTTCCTCAGGGGTACCATTGTGCACTTGAGGCTTCGTGGCACGAAAAGGCTTTGGCATAAGTACTTCTTTGTCAAGACTGAGCACGTTGTTTCTGATTCCGCCAGATTCCCGGAGCGGTGGAACGAGACTCGTAAGTGTCGTTACTCATTTTGTTCTCCTTTTTTCCGTAATTGCTGTGGATTTTATTCTCTTTCCGTTTCACAGCGATGGGCCGTCCGCCTCACCCTATTGCGGGTATCAGGGATAGGGTAGCCCGTTTGTTGCCCCATGCAGCAGAAACTCGAACCTGGTCCGCCTTCGTGAAGCGATACGGACCTAAAGTTTCTTCTAGTAAATGTCGTACTAACTACTTCGTTAGTTGCGCGACCGTATTTAGTGATACGACCCTTTGTGATGACAGGTCGAGGAGCTTCCAGGTGAAGGTCGCCAATTCCCGCCTTTCTACAAGCCGTTGCTGCTGCGGACACGCAATTTGATTTGAATGAGTCTGTTCGAGGGGATCGTCCTCAACCCATTCAATTGGGAGATCTGTCTCGAGTCGTGGTCACGAGGGAGGAGGCTTCCTCGGTGCAGGCCTCACATCCTTTGGATGAATCTTCTAACGGAGATGAGTCGTTGTCGAGGAAAAGAAGGAGGCTGGAGCTTGGGAAGGGCGTGGCCACGAATGCTAATAGGAGCGGGGCGTCCTTGACAGCCCCTATGTCTGTATTTATGGACGACGCTATTTTGTTGGGGAGGTCTCCTCGAGTGGAAGGAATTTGTCTTGGGGCTGGCTCAGTGCACTCTATTCAGGGCGGTGCATCGTCCAACGTCGGAGGGCATCGTGTTGAGGGTGGCGACTCTGGTTCGGATGTCGACCTAGAGGATTTTAATGAGTTCGTGGGTCGCCATACCCACGTGGAGGTTAGAACGAACGGTTCTGACCGTCATGTAGTAATCCCTAGGGATTACAACTTGCTGCTGAAGAACGAGCAAGTGGTGTCTGCCTTAGCTCCTTTGTGTGCCGCTCCTGAAAGCGAAATGCTTAGGGCTATGAGCGACGTGGAGTTGTCTCAGAAGGTCGCCGGTATGGCGTTGCAGGTAGATGCCTTGTTTTTTCATTTTGTCATTGTGTTTGTGCGGTAATTGTTGTTTCGTATTTTTGTTTCTAACTTCCCCCCTTCTCTTTTGTCAAACCCTCGTCATGGAGCTTGAACGGGATCGTCGGGATAGGAGACGGACATGTCTTTATGAGAAGATGTCGTCCAAATATCACCAGTATCGGGCTAAGCACCGGGCGATGGCCGACATTTATCATCAAGACCCTGAGTTTCAGGTGTTCCGTGAGGGGCTTAAGCAGCGGGAGGATCAGTTAGAGCGCAAGATTGAGGAGTTGAGGGAGAGGGTGAGGAGCTCGTGAGGGTTGTTGCCCGCAACAGTGAGCTGGAGGCTTCCCTTAAGGCGAGGGAGGAAGAGCTCGAGTTGAGCAAGGGATTGACGGTTGAGAATGCCAGCTTACAAGCGAAGGTGGCCGACTTGACCGTTGGGCTGAGTGCAAAGGTTGCGGAGATTGAGGGGCTCCAGGGCAAACTGGGCTTAGTGCCGACAAGTTGGCAGTGGCTATTTCTGAACTGGCATCTTTAGAAGAGGCGCTTCGCATTTCTAGGTCGGAGTTGACTGAGGAGAAGGAAGCCACTGGTCGGCGGGTCACAGGGCTCGAGGGGCGTATCAGAGAGCTGGAGGCGGAGCTAGCTGCACTGAATGGTCAAATGGCCTTGCTGAGGGTGGAGGATGCGAGTCTGCGTCGTTTATACGAGTTGTGGGTTCATGCTGAGGCCCGGCTAGATGTGTATAGGGCTTTTCTTGTCGAGGGAAGGGTGACTGAAGCGGAGCTTCAGGTCTTTCATACCGTAGCTTGTGCAGCTCGTGAGGCTTGTGGGTATGACCCCCTTACCCCCGACGGGGGCGACATCAATTCTGACGATGCGGGTCATCTTGCCTCGGACTCATGGTATGAGGATGTTTATCCTTCCGGGGGTGGTTCGTAGCTTATGTTTGTACTTGTTTTTGCTGGCGGGATTTTTGTAGAGGGCGTACTTGAGCCCGTTTGTGGATACTATAACTAACATTTCGATGAAATGTAAAATATATTTTGTTGATTTGCTCTTTTGTCAATGTTTACAATATTTGGGGTACCTGTCGATGGCTTCGGCCATTTGGATATTGCTTCGAACTGTCATCGAAGTAGAATCCCATTGTAGTTCGAACGAGGTCGAACTCATGTCATCGTCGATGGCCTTGGCCATTGGGATGTTCCTTCGAACTGTCGTGAAAGTAGGATCCCGTCGTAGTTCGAACAAGGTCGAACTTATGTCGTCGTCGATGGCCTTCGCCGTTGGGATGTTGCTTCGAACTGTCGTAGAAGTAGGATCCCATCGTAGTTCGAACGAGGTCGAACTTATGTCGTCGTCGATGGCCTTGGCCGTTGGGATGTTGCTTCGAACTGTCGTTGAAGTAGGATCC